CTCCTGCCTGTATTGCCGTGAAAAAAAAAATTGAAATATTTATAAATAAAGATATTATATTAGTATCATATAAATAAATAAATGTTTATATGATTGGTTTTTATCTGCTAGATCTGGGAGGGAAATCATTCCCACCAAGGCTTACACCAGCAACACAGTGGCACAATGGCACCCTCTGTTGCCCTGCATGATTCTTTTGATGGCTGATCCATACACGTGCATGTGTTAACTCCTGAAAACATCTGTGCATCACCTTCTCCAAATCTGACTCCTTCCTGCCCAACTTCCTTGTTTGTTTGGAGTTCTCCTCTGTTATTTCCCTTCTTAACAAAATCCAGTTTGTTCTTTGAACCTGTACTGGAGGAGATGGCGAATTGCGAGATTAATTAGCAATAGGAAGCTGTGAGAGGCTGTATTGCCATACTCATTTTGAGAATAGCAGCCTTCTTTCCCCATTTTGTCCTCTCTAACACAGCTAATGACAGCTTCCTGCAACAGTGGCATTAAACACTGAGCTCAGTCCTGCAGAATAGTGATCATTTCTGGGAGATGCTGTGGGAGACGGCGCCCGGTGCTTCCTGGAAAGTGATTAGTCCTAATGAGATAGGGTTGTCCAACTCTCATGCCACTAATTAAATCACAACTTCTTCCTTTTTTTCAGTTACACAAAAGCTTGATTCATGAATTAAAATACGTAGTGAATCTGATTGTAATTCTGATCCTCTGTGTGTTCATAATTAAACAACCAGTTCCTTTATGAATTGAAACAAAATTCTTTTTGGGGCATGGTAAGTTTTCACTCCTGAACATATTCATTTACATCCATGTGACTACACTTTAATTGCTCATTAATGGGATGTCACACAACCATCTTGTTCTTGCTGGACTTTCCCAATTATGACATTTTTTAACTTTAAGGACACCAAACTCTTCTCATATAGTAATTTTTTCCTGTCCTTTAGCTTCCCACAGTCTGTCATGTTACTAAGAATTATAAAACTATCTTGCTCTAACATTATAATTAATGACTGATTTTATTGTGTTGGCGTAAGAAAAATTAGATATATACTGTCCATTACTGCTGATACGACTGCCTGCTTTCCCCAGTGGAGTCTGAAAAAATGATCAAATGCTTTACTTATAACTGATTGCTTAGGAATGATCAGTCAGAAGTCATCAAATATAGTCAACATCAGAAGATTTTAATTTAAAACCCCCATGTTTTCTTTGATAGGTGTTTTCTAGATAAAATCTTTTACACTGAAAATCTTCAACTCTAGATATACAAGGGAGATGAAGAGAAAAGCAAAGAGAAAGCAGAAATTTGACATAAAAATCAGTTTCGATTTTGCATGTACATAGTAATTTTTCAGAATCCATACCACATTCACTTGCTTTGATACAAAGAAGATGTTATTGAGAAGTCAAACTGAGTTTTATCCCAGGCCTCATAAAAACAAGCATGTTTGACAGTTGTGGGAAAGAAGGGGGCTCAGGATGGATCTATTGTTCATGCAGAAAGATCTCCTTTCAAAAGTTAAATTACTCGTAATGATTCCATGTTAATTTGTTATTTGAATCCCCTGCAATCCCACTTTCCCCAGACAGAGCTGGATGAGGGGAGATGTAAGGATGTTACTTGAGCTTTTTGGCTTAGAGTAGATCTCCACTGAAACAAGTTCTGATTGCTGCTGAACTAGATATGCATTATTTTCTTTCAAAATTAAACCTGCAGGTTTCAGAATTCAACAAAACAATTTCTTTTCTGATTTTTACTTTGATTTTGTTACAAAACCACCCAACAACATGATGCTAAATTGCCAGAGAAAAGTTATTCAGAAACAAAACCAAGCCCAAAATAGCAGTATTTTAAAAACAGCACATTTCAACAGGATGGAAATTCTTTCCCCTTTTTATTTTCTTAAACTAAAGTGCTGACAAAATCAATACATTTTCTGAAGTGGTTTTTTTTTGACCAAATTTGCATGTACTGGTAGAATAGTGGATCCATTAAACTGATTATGAATAGTTGAGGCTGCATGTTTTTCTTTTTTAGGTTAAGGCCCCCTACAAGTCTACCGAGACTGACTTAGTCTTCCCTGAATAGAGCAATTATTCTAATAAAGACAAAAACTCCAAATCAAACAACACCCAGAATTGTTTTGACTCTCATCCAGAAAGGCAAGAGGTGTCTGGTAAAAATACAATACAGAGTCAGATATTAATGGGTACAGACTATTTTAGGCAGTGTGTTTGGTATTCCAAAGCACCATATAAAGGATAGAGACGAAGGAAAATGTGGATAGTCTGAAGACAAAGATGCATATGAAGAATAAGATTTCTGACTAATTGGAAGCTGGTGAAAGAAAGGCAAGAAGGGAACCCCAGTATCTACACACCTGTTTGTGTCACTTCAGTGCCTGGTAAAGTTGTGGAGAAGATTATTCTAGAATATTATTCTGAAAAACACCTGAAGGGCTCCTGGCCAGTGGAAAGTGGAGCTGAGCCAGCAGTGCCCTGGCAGCCAGGAGGGGCATCCCTGTCCTGGGGGCAGCAGGCCCAGCATGGCCAGCCCGGCAAGGGAGGGGATTGTCCCGCTCTGCTCGGGCTGGGGCGGCCTCACCTCCAGTGCTGGGGCAGCTCTGGGTGCCACAATATAAGAAAAACATTAAACTATCAGTGAGTGCCCAAAGGAGGGCACGGGGATGGTGAAGGGCCTTGAGGGGAAGCCGTGTGAGGAGAGGCTGAGGGCACTTGGTCTGCTCAGCCTGGAGGAGACTGAGGGGAGACCTCAGTGCAGTTACAAATTCCTCGGGAGGGGAAGAGGAGGGACAGACACTGATCTCTGCTCTGTGGTGACAGGGACAGGACCCAAGGAATGGCCTGAAGCTGTGCCAGGGGAGTTTGTGCTGGGTATCAGGAAAAGGTTCTTCCCCCAGAGGGTGGCTGGGCACTGAACAGGCTCCCCAGGGCAGTGGGCACAGCACCAGCCTGGCAGAGCTCAGGGGGCGTTTGGACAAAGCTCTTGGGCACAGGGTGACTCCTGGGGATGGTGCTGTGCAGGGCCAGCAGCTGCACTGGATGATCCCTTTCAGCTCAGGATATTCTGTGATTCTGAACAACTCTGTGAAAACCCTAATACAATAGGCCAGGAAACCAAAACAGGCCACAGAGTGCTGTCTGTCCTTAAGTAAAGACAGATTCATGACAAGTGACTCCTGTTTTCCTACTAGTTCACAAATATTTTGTTTAGCAACACAGATTCCCTGTAAGTGGGGGGTATGTTGTCAGGTCAGAGGACCTGCTGTTGGGTTATATCATTATTATGAAAGTCATGCTGCTAAGGAGCTTTGAGTTGTACCCCATACTGAGAATAGTCTAAATAATCTGTGACTCAAAGTATCTCTCATCAGGGATCACTGTGAACACGAGCAATTTCAGCTGACCCAACAAGCTAAACACAAACATGTCAAGATCTCAATAGCACCAGAACATTTGTTTTCAATATCCTGAGTGTGAATTCAGGGCCAATGGGCAACATTTATTTGGTAATGGTTTTGTTTGCCAGATGTTTTTTTTATCTAATTTTGCTGCAGAACACATACAAGTATGTACTGGAATTAAAATGATGATAGTAAAGAATCCAGTAGCCAACTCCTGGTTTATTGCAGCAGCATAAACTGATTTCCAAGACAAAAGCCATTATTCCAATTTGCATGGCTGTGAGATATGAACCCAGCCCATTCTCTTAAGGGAACATCTCTCGTAAACAAATAAATTAAACTTTGAGCCCTTTGAAATTACGTTTTGAGAGTGGTAGGGCAAGAGAGAGCACAGACTGTAAACCTCTGCTCTCTCTTAGGCTGAAGGTCATTGCTTCCAGAGGGAAAAAACAAAGTGCACCTTACTGCCCATGGCCCCAGGTGCTGAGGCTGACCATAGCTGATCCTTCCGAAGGTGCCAGGAGTCCAAAGGGAACCACAGCCTGCAGGAGACATCCAAAACAACTCGAACACGTAAAACTGTAGGTGACATGAGGCATGGAGATGCTTTGCTTGGGACCCTAACAAGGCTCCCCAGCCATGCTCCCTCCCCAGCCATACCTACAATGCACTGCAGGAATGTGTTCTTTGATTTAAACCATTTTCTCAACAAGACTTTAGATGAGCTGCACTTACTAAGTTCTATGTCCACATCAAAGGTATTTTGCAAGGAAATAGAGCTGACACACTGTTATACTTCTATCAAACTATCACATGCAATTTTATAGATAATTTCTGCTGTAGCATATTCTGTGAAGAAGCTAGATCAGGAATACTGAGACACAGCTCAAAATGATAATGTGTCTTTTCCCCCAGGTTGTCAATAGATTCAGAGCAGGCACAGTGCCAGGTTAAAGCAGAGCAAATATTTGCAGTTCAATATTTTATCCACCAGAAAATTCCTCAAGTTTCTTATAGATAATTTTGGCTGATAAAACATTTCTTTAACTGCAAAGTTTTATTTTGAAGCACTACTGAGTGTGAGCCCTGAAGGATGGACTGAGGTTATTTTTAGAATGCTAACTCCTAGATAAAACCAGGGCATTCATTTTTGCAATGCATTTTTTGTAAGTCTTTGTAGATTATTTGTTAGTTGGTTCTGGAGATTGTATATGGAATGATTTGTCCATGATAGAGATGTCCTTAAGCCAAAATCTCAGATCCTGGAGCTTTGCATACAGCTCTCCCCTTTTTCCTTTTATTGGTCATAACCCTGGGAGGTTATGACCTCAGATTCCCCAGAGTCTGGAAGGAATTTGGGTCTGAATTTGAAATTAAAGTAAGGTTCATCCACTGAATACATACTCTTATTTACCAAAGGGAGCCAAGCTCAAACCACATCATGTCGAACTTTGGCCATATATTTTATAAGATATGACTTCAAATGCAAAAAGGCATGCCAGCTTAAGAAAATACCACTCTTACCTCCTTTCAAACAGATTTGCTTTGCTTTTCTAGGGTTTGCCCTCTTCACTGCTCAAAGAGTAAGTATTCAATTGATAAATGGGAGACCTCTTCCAGATAGAGACCATCTTGGCTACACTCACACTATTAAAAAAATGTAAATACAATTTGTAAGGGAATCCAAAATTTTCTAGGAATGCTTAAAACTTACAGGAGTGTCAGATTCTTCAGACTGAGCAGAGTCTGTCCAGATGGCTTCGTTGGGATATGCGTGCTCACCTCACCAGAGGAAACCCAAACTGGAACTTAGGAGGGTTTATTAGCAAATCCCACACACACTGAGCTATCCTTATAAATACCTAAGGAATTAACTTATAGGTTAGCCCACAGTACAAAAAGAGGAATGCATGGGTTTTTCCACAGATGGTTATGTGAAAAAATATTTCTCCACCAGTTGTTATTACTTTGAGATAATATAAATTATTCCTGGCTTCTACAAATGGATTCAGTGGCAGATGTAGTCAATTAAGAAGGGCCTTGCTCTGGATTTTAGCAGCATTTTAGGACAACAAGCATAAATGCTTCACTAATATTTAAGATGGGATTCATTGATGTGGCCATGCTATTTCATACACATAACTTAAAAGCATCTTTTTAAAAATAGACACTCAATAAGCTTTCTAGCTGCAGAGGATCCTGCACAACCCCTTAAAGAACACGAACATGAAAACTCCACCAGAACAAGCTCCTTTCTATTAATTCCTGATATTATTTCACACTGAAGTTTGTCAAATATTTAAATACTTCATATGCAGCTTTTTTTTTTTTTTACATCAAACAGTTATTTACTTCAAGAAAAGATAGCACTTGGTTCTGTAACTCCCTGTAAACTCCCTGAAGGTTGTACAATGCAGGTCTCTGATAAGTCCTATGGAAGGTTGTGGATGACAGAGAATCCAGATTTGTAGTTCACAGCTTTTTGCCCATATATTATTATTATTATTATTATTATTATTATTATTATTATTATTATTATTATTATTATTATTATTATTATGTCTGTAGAAACAGTAAATTTGCATTTTTCACATTATTAAATGTGCTTGTTGTATCTATATTAAAATAGATAATATTGCAAAAATTGCAAGGGGGAAGGAACCTCTTTACCACATTGGAGATATTGTACCAGGTTGTTGTTTTGGGAAAAAGGGAAGGAATTGCACCTTTCCTGAGAGCAAGAGCCCACCTATATGGGGAGGCTGCCACAGGCAGTCCTGTTGCCTTGGGTAGGAGAGGCAGGAAACTGGATTACAACAGCAGTGAATAGGAAGGTCTTAGCAGAGTCACAAACTAGACACGTGCCAAAAATATTGAGATTTTAGTCCTCAGAATTACTGAACAAGTTCTTCCTCAGTTTTCACAGCTGAGACTCATTTCAGGGGTCTGTGTCCCTGGCTTCCAGGCAAAGCGATATGGAAAAATGGATGACCAGAACTGCACCCTGAAAGTAATCTGCTCATGGAAACTGTCCTGGAATATTGGATTGGACCAGCTCTGTGATGGTCATGGTAAGTTTTCACAGTTATACTCCAAACCAGCAGAAGCTCTTTCAGTCAAGTTCTGATAGCAAACATCAGTTCTTTGAGGTGAATCATGGGGTGAGAACTGTTTGCCCAAACATTCACTGCTTAGTGAACATTTCAAAGTCAGCATGTGGCTAAAGCTGTCCCATAAGCAAAGAATTTTTATAAAATGAGTGATATTATGATCACCCCCTGTGCTGAAGTCTCCTGCAGCTGCCAGAGTGGGCAGTGGTGAGGCTGGTTCCTCAAGGGAAACCTGTGCAGACTCCTGTATTTTCTGATTTTTATGCTTCTGAGAGGCAATGCTGTGACTACATGAATGTCATTTTTGTCATTTAATACTGTTGCTAACCCACATAATTGTTAAGGGACTGCACTGTGCAATTTAGCATAATTAAGACAATTACACAGTTAAGCACCAAGAGCAGTCAGTAGCCATTTTTTGCCCTAGTGTAAGGAAACCTAAAGTCTCCATGTATTATTCCTGTGCACCCTTGGGGTTTTGATTGCTGATGAGCATGAGGATGATCATGGGGCACTGTCAGGCCTTTTTGCCAGGGGGATGCTGTTGATTAAGGAAGAGGGGGATCTGAGCCTATTCCCATCACCCTGTAGGTTACCATGTGGGAACTTGACCTCCGAGCGTGTTATTTGAGCCACGCTCGAGATCTCACCAAGAGAAGATACTTAACACATTTTCTCTGCATTTTACATCCATCTGAAATGTATTTAGCTAACTTTTGAGGTACCTTGCATGTTAAACCTTGAATCGCAATTGTGACCTCTCCAGTTTCCCTTATTCACACAGTATTTGATTTGGATGACATATTTTTATAATATTTATTTTTCAGCCCATTTTGAGACTCTCATGTTAATGCCACAAGAACTTCAGTCTACTGTATAATATTTCAGACATGGAGGGAAAAAAAAGAGAAGAACTAAAGAAAAAGAAAAACCAGCCGTCTGCATCCACTTAAACTACGTTACAATAAAGCTCAGTAAAGATCTGATCAGCAGTTTTTTAGCCTGCTCTGATTTAATATGAAATAAATTAGTGGAAAACCTAAGGCTGAAAGGAAATTTTTTGCCACTGTTTAAAACAGGACATGAATCCTTTAACATAATATTTACACACTCTATATTAAATACTTTCTGCAAAGGTAAAATTTAGCAGTGCCAGCTTCAGACAGACTGGGAACAAAATTTGTTTATACTTAATAAATCTGATTTTGAGAAGAAAGAGTTTTGTTCTTTTTTCCTTTTTTCCCCTCCTGTGTATACACTAGCATTGACAGAAAATCCTTATTTCAAATTATGTAAACATACTCATTAAAAAAACTGCTGAACACTTAAAGGAGAAGATACAATTTGTATTCTATTTGCTAGTGTTTTCATCTTGGCCTTCAGAGTTGCTATGATCTGTTATCTCTGGTGGCCCACAAAGCTTTTTAGATTCTTGAAGCACCATGGCTTTCTGTGATCTCTATATCCCAGCATGGCTTTATTCATGATCATTGCTAGTAGATTTAGCATGAATTTTTTGACAATATACTCTAATATTTGGGAAGGAAGGTGTGTGCCAAGAAGTATCAAATTGTCAGACGTGACATTTTCACCAGAAAGCACTGTCCAGTTTTTCCAGGGTAAATTTCCTGGTCCAGGTTTGAACTGCTACTCAAAATAAGATGAAGATGGACTTTTTCCAGGGAAGACTCCACAGTCCCCAGCCCAGCTCTTTCAGAACATCTCAGAAGACAAATATAAGTCTCCTGCTCTGTTGACCTAGAACAAGAACACAGCATTATATCCCAGAGCCTTAAACCTTCAGCTTTGTTTTGGGAGGGGGTTTGAGGTTGGTACTATTTAGCCATGTGGAGATAAGAACATTTTGAAAAATCAAGAGATCTTTCATGAAATAAAAAACCAGTTTCCTACAGAGCTGCAATTAAAATCATGGCCAATCCCTTGAAAATATATACTGTTTATTAAGGAAGTTACTAAGATGTGACATAGCTCCCAGGTGAGAAAGAAGTCTTAACTCACCATCTACTTCTTTCATCTGCGATTTATCATCTAGCCAGACAACTTGGATCATTAGCACATCAAAGATCTTAAAACATCCCAGATGAAAAAAATAAAAACTTCTTTAAGACCATGGTATTTCAAAAATCAGCCATGTATTTGTAGATTTTAAGATCATATGGAAACTTTGCAGTCACCTTCTCTGACATCTGCAGAACATAGCCCAGAGGAGGCTGCCCAGCAATTCCTAAATTATTTTCCAATAAATTGTGGTTGACTCAGGGCATCTTTCTCGGAAAGACATTCAGTCTGATTTAAGGACTATAAGCAACTGAGAATCCACCACATTCTTTGGCAAACTGCTCGTTACAAATAGGGCAAAATCTCACCAACAGGAATGGGAGTTTTGTCTGGACTCATATTTAATCTGCAGATTAAATATTCACAAAATGTAGAATGATTAAATATCCACAGGAGAAGTGGGTTGTAGTTTACTCCTTCCAGAAATCATAGGACTGTAAGGATAAGTAAAGTAAGGAATTGGGGAAAGTATTAACAGGTTTGAAACAATTTTTTTAAGTCTGATTAAGGTGCACAAAATCCCTAAAAGAGCATGAAAATGTTCATCGAAGACACATTCTTTATGGTTTTGAAGTCTAAAATCTTAGTGCTCAGAGATAATATCTACTTAAAATACATGAGCAAACCAAGTCATAAAAAGTCTGTTCCTCTAACTTTGCTCCCAGGACAGGTCTTCTGACGCTAGTAAGAGTCCTAGAAAAACATGAGCAACACTCATTCCACTAGTCAGAAATGGTTTGTATGGCAGGATTTCCAATAGAAAACTGATTTTATCTTGCCTTGACCCCAGTTTGGTCCAATTGCTTTGCTATACTTACAGACAGAAGTCCTCAGTTAGCCCTATGAAAAGCAGACAGCCATAATGGAAATAGAGTTTCTATTTACTCTGAAGCCAGAAAATTCATTCCAAGAGAACAATAAATGTGGGGCCACATGCATTGTTTACTTATCTTTAGGAACATTGTTATTCCCCAAACAGGCTGACTGCTTCTCACTACCCTTGTTCAGCTCCTTGTGCAAATGCATCTCATCAGCTTCAGCTAATTCATCACTATGGTTTGACAATAATCACTGACTCTCTTTCTAAAGATAATCTGTGTTTAAAGGCTCTGTTATATAATATGCTATAAGCCAAGAATATCTTGCAACATTTGGAAAGGTAGGGCAGTAATGTTCTGCCAGATTCCTCTCAGCATTTAAACATCATATTTTACATGCCAAAAGTTCCTTCAATTAATAATGACTTGTGAGTTTTAAGATGGATAATTTATATCTGAAAACAATTAGGGAAGGCAATTTAGAAAAACTTATCTGTGTTTTGGGAGACGTAACCACAAAAAATGTCACTGAAAGAGGGAGAAATAAATGGACTGAAATTCAAGGATATGTCCTGGCCCCTTGGGAAAAGTCAGTGATAGTTCAGAGCCAGTTTGCTTCAAAGGTAATTCTGGAGAATGAAACATTTTTCAGAGACATCCCAGTAACAGATAAATGAGTGAGTCCTTGTGGGATTGAATAAGCAACAAAGAATAGTAGAGGCAAAGAAGGGGTTTTCAGATCAGTGTAAAAGAGCATCCTAGAAAAGGGAAAAGACATAAAGCTGTGAATCTGGGACAAAAATAAGTGGAAGTATATCTAAAATATTCACAGCAGAGAGGAGAGAGGGTAGAGAAGAAGTTTAGACCCTCAAGCAGAGCATTAAGTGTGGCACCAGAACTATCAATGAACTAGAGACAAAACACCGTCCTCCATATTTCTCTAGCTGAGCAAAAAATGTTTGTTCAGATTGGACAGAAAACAAGAGTCAAGATTAGAGAGTCACCATGAGAAGGACCTGTCAGGTAAAAGCACAAAACCTATCAGCTGTAGTGACAAAGAGCCTGTTTGGGGCCAATGGGCAGGGATGTGCAGCAGTGCCATGGCGCAGGTCATGCTGACCGCAGTGAGAACTGTCAGCAGACACCCCACCCACCTGTGGGAAGTCACACCACAGCTTTTCTGCAAAATCAAGGATCTGCCAAGGATCAGCAGCTGTCCAAGCCCTCAGGTCAGCAGAGAGGTGCAGAGATTTATGCAATTCCTATTGCCATTAGAAAATAAACCATATACTAATTATTTTTATTCTTGCTGGCATATGAGAAAACACAAGTGAGGGAGAACCCCTGATTTCCCTACCTCACAGAAACCCATATTTTCACTAAAGGAAAGGTGTTACCTCAAACTCCTAAACTTCCCCAGCTGTGCATTTAATGACACTTTTGTTCACCTGTTGCCTGGCTAAGTTGTTTTAGGAAATTCCTCTTTGATAGATGCATAATTATACTGCATATCCTGAACTGCTCATTATGCAAGGTCCAGACCCCAAATTCTGATTTCCTTGACTATTTCTCTTCCAGATGAATGTACAAACAGATTTCCCACAAGCTCAATGAGGAAAGACTTGAAGGCTTAGAAAGAAGAGGCCGCCGCTGGAGTCTGCAGTGTCTCCTCCAGTTCAAATAAAATGGGGGAAAAAAAAAAAGTTCTATATTAGCTTATAACCTAAAAAGTGTGCCTGTCACCATTCTGATGAATTAATTTAGCTTTGCAGTTTGGATTACAGGGAAAGATTCAAATACACTTCATAGACACTAATATCTGTAGATTTATGAGTGTTGAATAATTAATTACTGCTATTTCAGTTTCTCCAAGTGGGAAAAATAAGGCATATTAAGCCTTGGGCATTATCAGCCACCCAATAGGTCAGTATAAAGGCTTGTGATGGAGTCAAAATATCTCATTATTTAGTTGAAAGACTCAGTCTCAAACAGTACTATCTCTGGCATATGGATATTTCCAAACCTCTCTGAAGATGATGGGTTTGTAGTAACATTTTATTCAAGCTAAATTAAAGCGGTAAAAAAGCTCTTTTGTTAACAACAGTAGTTACTGTTTGTGTAACTAATCTACATGTCTTATAGATCTGTCTTTGGTGGTTTGGCTGGGAACTGAATTAACACTTAAAAATTTTGCTAATGGCATGGCAGACCTGGATGTGTCTGCAGAAGTGACAGAAACAACCAGTGGCAGGCAGAAAACACCACAAAGAACACCTTTGAAATAAAAACACCAAAAAGGGGCAGAATTACTTCAGAAGGAATGTGGCTTTGTGAACAAAGACAGTGACTCCTGGATCATTGCTGCAGGTCTCTGCAAACATTGTCCACAAGGAAACATGATTGCATTGAAGAAATACAGGTCACCAATCTCTCCTTCCAGAGAAAACAATCTTGCACATCAGAAATACTGGCTGTGAGGCAGGCAAATATCACCAGAGGAATCAAGTTTCCCAGAAGAGAAAAGATAAGCTGATATCTGCATCAAACTGGAACAAACAATGGAGGTACTCACAAAGCTCAACAATGGCCAGAAAATAATTAGAACAAGATCTAAACAATTGCTGGAGCTCTCTATAAAGAATCTGAGTCAAAATTCTGTAGCTTCCCAGAAAAGGCAGAAATATGACCATGTCTTTGGGGGCAGAATGAAGTGTGTCTGAGCAGATTGAAAAACTGCTAGCATAAATACAATTTTGATCCACGCATGAAGAAACAACTGCAGAAAACTGCACCAAGAAAAAATAATTAATGTAAAATTGTATCCTTTTTTAACTACAGCCAGTATTACACGTTTAGGGCAGAAGAGTTAAAAAAAAAAAAAACTGTAAGATGATTCTTCCTCCTCTGCTCTGCTGCCATAGATTCTGGAACTCAGCTGTGGAGGGACTTTTGAGTTGATGTAACAGTGGGCAACAAGAGATGATGGATCACAAAGCTTCTCATTACAATTGGGAGACCTTTTTCCACTGCAATCTATTAATGCACTTCAGTTGACACATGGGCTCAAGGACCTGGAAATAAACAACAACAACAACAACAACAACAACAACAACAACAAAAACCAAAAAAAAAAGAAAAACAGCTTTCTAAATAAATGAAAGATGGACTCAGATTATCTAAAGGACTTTCACTCAGAGGGTGCTGGTGGCTCTTCCTACTCCAATGTGAAGATCTATTTGTGAACATCAAATGGGATAGGAAGCATGTGTCAGATCTGGGTCAGGCTTTTCTGGAGACACACATACCTCAGCCAACCTCACATCCCAAAAGACTGGTTGGGGTTTATGTCTGAACAGAATCACCCTGAGCATCCCACTTTAATCGCTGCAGACAGCAACTCTTTTTACCTGTAAATTAATCTGGACCTGTCTGAGGTAAAAGACAGGTAAGGGGTTACAGCTGGGTGGGGAGCACGAGAGAAAACCTTGAGTAACAGGCTGGATGTCCAAGGAGTCTTGTGCAATCTCAGTTTACAAAGGCTTGGATTCCGACTAAGATACAAAACACTGACACAGGGATGCTTGCCCAAACTCAAACATGTCTCTTAAATCAGGAAAAAGGCCCAGGATACCTCAGGACATGGAAGAGGTTGCTGTGGTGCTCCTGCTTTCCAGTCAACAGTCCCTTAGTGGGAGGAGAAAGCAGAGAGGCTGGAAGATGGTATCCATGAGCTGAATCCATCTTGATGCTCCATCCCTGGAATGTCTACAGCAAAGGGACTTGAACTTGGCTCACAGCTCATCTGAGCTAACAGGAAAACAATGAAACTCAGTTCTGCTCAGTTCTGTTATTTTTCTTTCCTTTTTTTAAGGGAGAGAGAGAAGGAGAGAAGAGAAGTGAAAAACTGGCAAGTGCAGCAAATTTAGAGAACAGACCAGATAAAAGTTATTGTTACGAAATTTCTTTGTTTCATGGCCAAGACCATTATATATCTCTGGCTGGCCAGACGAAGCATCATGTGTCTTCAGCAGAAGCTTCTTTTCTACCCAGAGAGCTGGACAGAGGAAAACAAAATTTCAGGAAGGAGCTGGCTTGAAAAGACATCAGAGTTCAAGTCTGCCTGAAGGACACAGTCTACCTAAGGGACTCCTGTTCACTTTTAGGAACGTGAGACACCCTGTCTGTTGTACTGTGCTGGTCTTAAAATAGAAAATGCCCCAAACAAGGGGAAAATACACCAGAACAAGTTCTGTAGTGAAGTGACAACTTTTAATCCTGTGGGAAAAAGTGTGTCCTATCTGTAAGACCCATGGATCAGGTTTGGATGGCTAAGGCTCCCAGCATTAGGATATTTTTTTGGAATTCAGATAACACCACAGAGCTTTCTAATGTCTTTGAGAAGAACTTGTATTTTCATTGCTGCTCTCTGATGACCAAGCAAGTGCACTGTCAATAGGAAAGTGAGGGCAAAGAAACATGAGTTAGGTTAAACAGGTATTTGCTAAGAAACCCAACGGGAGGGAAAAATATTCTCTTACAGAAACAAATCAAAGATTCTATGGAAGATTCAGCTCTGCAAATGTTTTTCAACACACAGTTTTCTGTGGAGTTTTTTTGCTTACAAAGGTTTTTGACTTTACATACAAATCATAGAGAAAATGTGATACAGACTTTGGCACTGACTGGTAGAGTAACAAGCTCTCCTTGCGAAATTTATTCCCAGAAAAAAATCAAATTCTGCTCCCAGTCCTTTCTGTTCATACGTTAATGCTGTCCCCTCACTGTAAGCACTAGCATGTGTACTTCTGTAAAGAAACAGGCAAACACAAATACACTAATATTGGAGATGGCCCCTGAGCCTTTTAAACTTTGAATTCTAAGCGTTTCATTTGGTTTATTAAATTCTGTGTATCTAGAATTTCCACACTTACCTCTGTACCAGCAAGCTGATCGTCTAATAGTAAGGTTCAATAGCAGTTCATCTGGTTACGTGTATCAAGCCTCCCAAAAAAGACTGGGAACAGTATATTCCATTCCTTCAAATAGAAAAAAAAACAAAACAACACTCTAAAAACACAGTACAATATATCACAACACTTTCCAAAGTGCTGGGTAAACTCAGGTCCTTCATAAATTCTCATATGTGGTTCCCGAGAAGAAACACAGAAGTGTGGATTTTGAACAAGCCTTCTACATGTCAGAACTGAAAAAATGTTCTTTTCTGCTGAAGAAGTTTTCAGTTTATAGAAGGTTTCTCACACATGCAAACAGTGAACTTTTAGAAGAGGTATTTTGCTTGGTGTGGGCAGAGTTATGAGGAAGAACAGGCTGAATAAAGTTTGGAAGATGGCTCAGAATGCTGTGGGGTCACCCAAAAAAGTGTCACAGCACTATTTCAGGTTTCTGCCACAAGAGCCAAGAGTATCATTTCAGAGACTGAAACAGTTTTACTGGAAAGAAACTAGCTCCAGGAACCAAAATGAGCAGATTTTGGAGAAACAAAGGAGATCCTCCAGAGACAGAAAGACCCATTCCACATGGTTAAAAGATAATCTGGCAAGAGGAAGGTTTGTATGATATTTGGCAAGATCAGTGGAAGCTAGAATGACCTTGGGAGGCGAGGGTGTGTCTGAGTAAACCCTGTTATAAATATGTAAATCTCTATCATCCCTAAATTACAGAGGAAACATGCTGTGGTATGGACATGAGTAGTCAGAGCCAGTAATAGACTGGTCTCCAAAAGCTGCAGAGAGCATCAAAAAGGCAGCAGGTGAGGAAGCCCTTGCAGCACACCTGAAGAGATATCAAGGGCATACTTTGGGAGGGAGAAAGGTCTGGAAAGGACTTCAAACTATAAGCCACTGACTTCTCTTTTTTTATTGCTGCATTCAGAGTAATTCTTTCTGCCAAATAAATACTAGGTTGTCATCTGCTTTTCCTGAGGCAAATAACCTTCATGGCCCCCACTTGGGCCAGCTGTGTAGACCAGGATGCAGCAATGCTTAATGGAATTATACCCTCATCTGAAGGCCACCTTTGTAGCTGTCAGCACATAGAGATAGTAAGGAGAAATTAATCTTTTTGCCCAAAGCAGTCTGTAGTATTAATAGTTGCAGGAGATTTGTACCAAAAATCCAGAAGAGTTAAGCCCATACACAGAGGGGGAAGCAAACGCAAAATCCTGCTCTCAGCCCACTGCCGTGTTTGATTCTGCCTCTCCCAAATAATCTCCCAAATCCACCCCACAAAGACCAAGTGGCTCACTGGTGAAAGTAAACACACTGTTTGCAAAAGCTTTTACATTTCACACTTTGGATTGAGTGTAAAAACTCACCCCTGAGAAACTCGTAAACAGATGCACATTTGGAACTATGAGCTCTGTACTCACGTTTCACGTCTTCATTAGACATTCACACTCAACTGCTCCGTCTCAAACTGATGGAGTCCAGCCTTTGTGGTGTGAAGAATTTGCAATGAAATGCAGTCTGGGCCCACAGACCATGACTCCAAGCTGAAGACAATTTGATAGATGGTGCACTGACCACACAAACGGGTTCAAAAGAAATCAGTTTGGCATTCTGGAGAATTTTGAAAGCATTTTTGATCAATGGTGTTTGGAAGTCTCAGGAACATTAATTCCATATTCAGTTTGCCAAAATGTCTACCTTAGATAGAATTTATAAGCATACATGTCAAGATACATTTAAAATCCTTTGAGACTTCCAAGTACACGAATAACACACGTATCATTACTACTTTTTTTTAACACAGCATCATATAAATCAAATGAAAGAGCCAGGCTTTCTCAACTAAGGAAAACCACCTCACTTAAAATAACAAAGGTAATACTTATTTATTAATGTACAATGTCCAAAATTCCTATTAAAATCTGTCAAGAACAGTTTAATGCAGCACATTTTCAGGAACTGAAATTAACACATACTTGCTCAAAGGTTAAATCCACCACATTGCTGTATCTGTATTTTTCATTTCAAAGGCTAGGAAGTCCCTGGTTGCTTCTTTGAAAAAGTGCAAAAGTACCATGTTGAAAAATGAAAACAGCATCTGAAAGTACCCACCGTCATTTATCAACTGTCTTGTGTCAAGGTACCATTAGATGTTCATCAGCAATGCATTTAAGGATGAAGATTTATCAGAAGCATTTCCTCACACTCTCTGGGATAGTGTCTGTGAATGAGGAGATTATGAAATAGCTCATTAGCCCATTCTTGCTGGTTTGGATGGTTATCTAAGTTCTTGCTATCTGATGGGGACTGTTCTTAGCAACTGCAAATGGAATTCCTCTGCATGGCAGATTATGGTAGTTGAGGACACAGGTAATAAAAAGGTCAGCATTGCTATTTCCCTGCTTCTATCCAGTGGCACTTACATGGTCAAAGGCTTGCCATGAGCAATTTCATTTTAAGTCAGTTTTTCTGAGCATATATTTAAGCATGCAGAAACTCTAGAATGGACACAGTTAAATTCAGTTAGGGATGAATTTTTTTTCCCACAACCATCTTATCAATTTACAGGAGTAATTCTGTGTTGATTGAGTCTCAGGGAGCAGAAGAAATCTTGACTGCTGCTCCTTAGATAAGCATCCAAACAACACAATCATAACTTCAGGGTCTATAAGAAGAAGATAAAAGAGCTTGTTATTTCCTTGGCTGATGATAATATCCTGTATGATAAGGACCTGCATGTCATTCTGCAAAACCCTGAGCTCATTTAAAGTTGTTTCCTTTGAAGATCAGTTTTGTTGAAGAACACTGTTCATATGTGCTCCTATGCAGGAGACATTCTCAGAGTAGGGACAGCACATCTCCTTCAGTTAGGGGATGGCACCATATTGTCCCCAAAGGAGTACAGACTGTCCCCTAGTATGTGATAGGAGCCTTCTCATTTGATTTGGTACAAGAACCTTTGGCTTGGCCAAGGCTCTGTCTGCTTCTGGGATAAGTCTTCCAAATCTTCAGGCAAAATTAACCTTTCCCTAACTCTAGCTCCTTCCTTTACTGCTTCCCATGGGGTTTCTTTATCTTCTCTTCCAAGCTCAAAATTCTGATGTTTGGTACTCTTCCTCAGGCTCTCTGTTTGCTCTCCCACTTCTGAAAAACCTCAATTTCACCTTCTTCTTGCTCACACTTTTTTATACCCCCCATGTTACTCAGCTCTCTTACTTTTCTCATTTTCCACATCACTCAGTAACTCAGATCCTTGCTTAAGCATGAAAATCTCATTTCAGGCATTTGCACAGTCATGGTGGATCAATTAAAAAGGACCAAGGACAGACCAGAATATTTGCCAGCAGAATAGACAGAGATGTGAGCAAAACAGGAGCTCAGCAACTTCTCCACTTCCCACATATGTAAAAAGCTGTCTTGAGCAGAAGAGGTGCATTGCAGATATTCAAGTAAGGAAAATTATTGTTAACAATCACATCTTCCCTATGAAAGCAGTAAAGGGCCTCTGTACAAAGCACAATCTGAATAATGTTATTTTGTTTTCCAAACTACTTCTGCACAGTTTTAATGTGAATCTTCCTTTAGCATTTCTTGCCATCTTTAGTATCACAGTGAGTTTGCCAAATTCAAAGACTCAAATTTAAGTGAGGCTCCTGGGATCTGTGACATCTCAGAACCAAAGATCAAGCAAGTGAAAACACCATGAGAAAGACAATTCCACTCCCCAAAAGCATTAGCCCATCAGGTGGCTATTTACTTTTGACTTAAACTTTACATGAAGTCACAGAACAGCCCAGGCTTTGAAGGACTGACAAGGCAAAAGGGACAATTCTGCATGTGCCACACTGTACATGCCAAACAATGTTAACACTGAAAGGCTCATTGTTAGAGCCTCACTGAGGACGTTAGGAAGAGGAAGGAAAATTGGATATAGAAGATTACATAATTATTTTGAGTTTGAAAAAGGAATTTGATTTGGCAAGTCTGAGCAGCAGAGATGTTGCTCTCTGAATTGGGAGTTAGTTTCAACTGTTGGAAACTGTCAGTTTTGAAACAACAAAAATATTGTAATACACTATAAGTCTGTAAAGACATTTCACAAATGAGAACTGGCAACAAGCAGAGTGATTCCCCTCTATACGTTACTTGGGGGAGTTTAAAATAATTAAAATTATGTACCTCTAGAACGTTATTTCATCTTAAAATAAATATAAATTAACTCTATCTTTAGCATCCACATCTCCAACACTTTCTATGATTCTATAAACGTTTCTTCTCCTGTTTTGCTGTAATCAGAAACTATTTGTGTGGGTATTTTTCATAAATATTGCACAGATAGTGGTAACTGCAAAGAGACAATGTTTTACCTGTCACTGAATAAATAATTCCAAAGTTTTCCATTTCCCTCAGAGATTTAAGGGCTGTTGGGGGAAAAGGGATACGGGAAGGAAGGTGACTGTTAGAATTTAAGTTTTCCACTAGGTCATCTTTCAGTGGGCACAAGCACTGAGGTCTCTGCAAGGGAAATCTCTGCTTGGAGCTGATCACTGTGAAATACTCCAGGGCTGCATGGCACTTCCAGCCTTCTCTGACTGCCTTTATGGTCATGTCATTGAAGGCACTTGAGATTTTCAGACTCTGCAGAATGCCTTGGCTCACAAACACACATATTCCAGTTGATTTTTGCGGTAGTCATTTCCACAAAAGTTATATTCACACTTCCAGCAGACTCAGGAAGGTTGGGGCTAAGCCAGGATAACCTATAGGAAAAACAGAGTGAAGGATTTCTGGTTTCTCTGAAGAGAGAGGGTAATGCAAGCAAGGTGAGGATCATCCCTGGTCTTGTGTCCTCTTAACATGTAGAAGAAGCTGGGATATAATTCTAGGGGACTGTGTGGTT